CGGAGGGTGGCGAGATCGCCACGAACACGGGGGAGCGAGGATCGGCACCGTTGGCCAGCGGTGACCGACCCGAAGCAGCGAGGAGGCTGCAGTCAGCAGCGGGGCTGCACAGAGAGTCAGCAGCGGGGCTGCATACAGAGTCAGCAGCGGGTCTGCATACAGTAGCAGCCAGAGGGTCTGCACATAGGGGTGGCAGCGAGAGTCTGCATAGGGGTAGCAGCGAGTCTGCAGGGAGGAGGTTACGGTAGATGAAGCAAAGAGTCTGCGGGAAGAGAAAGGAAGCTATAATAGCAGTCAACAGCCGGGGGCTATAAATACAGAGTTATAACAGAGTGCCGTGTGGGAGAAGACAAGAACCCAATAAAGGACACGAAGACAGAAAGAAGTGTCTGAGTCCTTTTATTACATATCATTAACATTCCTTTCCTTTGTTACTGCTAATCCCTGCACCCCCCCTTGGTGCTGTTGATCCTGCATAATGCATGGGCATAATATGACTTTGAAACCCCCCCGCCCACCTCCTACGCATTTTCCATGTATATGCTAAATTCCTCTTCATATGCACATTCTTTTGTTAAGGCGCTCTTTCTTCCACCTCCAACGCAGCTTATATATAAGCTCCTAGCTTGGCATTGTCTCATTCTTCACCTGAGGACGGCTGCTTGCGTTGTGGCCGAAACGTCGTGAGAATTGTTTTATTATGTTTTATTTTTATTATTTTATTACTTCCCTTCTACGTGACTTTATCGAAAGAACCAAGAAGAAGAATCATTTTCATGTTGATATGGGGTGATGATGGGGGGTGGTGGTGGTGATGGGGGTGGTGGTGGTGATGGGGGTGGTGGTGGTGATTGGGGTGATGGGGGTGGTGGTGATGGTGATGGTGGTGATGGGGGTGGTGGTGGTGATGGGGGTGGTGGTGGTGGTGATGGGGGTGATGAGGGTGGTGGTGGTGATGGGGGTGATGAGGGTGGTGGTGGTGATGTGGGTGGTGGTGGTGATGGGGGTGATGAGGGTGGTGGTGGTGATGGGGGTGATGAGGGTGGTGGTGGTGATGGGGGTGGTGGTGGTGGTGATGGGGGTGGTAGTGGTGATGGGGGTGATGGGGGTGGTGGTGATGGTGATGGTGGTGATGGTGATGGGGGTGGTGATGGGGGTGGTAGTGGTGATGGGGGTGGTGATGGGGGTGGTGGTGGTGATGGGGGTGGTGGTGGTGATGGGGGTGGTGGTGGTGATGGGGGTGATGAGGGTGGTGTTGGTGATGGGGGTGATGAGGGTGGTGGTGGTGATGGGGGTGGTGATGGGGGTGGTAGTGGTGATGGGGGTGATGGGGGTGGTGGTGATGGTGGTGATGGTGATGGGGGTGGTGATGGGGGTGGTAGTGGTGATGGGGGTGGTGATGGGGGTGGTGGTGGTGATGGGGGTGGTGGTGGTGATGGGGGTGGTGGTGGTGATGGGGGGTGATGAGGGTGGTGTTGGTGATGGGGGTGATGAGGGTGGTGGTGGTGATGGGGGTGGTGATGATGGGGGTGGTAGTGGTGGTGATGGGGGTGGTGGTGGTGATCGGGGTGGTGGTGGTGATGGGGGTGGTGGTTGTGATGGGGGTGGTGGTGGTGATGGGGGTGGTGGTGGTGATGGGGGTGGTGGTGGTGATGGGGGTGGTGGTGGTGATGGGGGTGGTGGTGGTGATGGGGGTGGTGGTGGTGATGGGGGTGGTGGTGGTGATGGGGGTGGTGGTGGTGATGGGGGTGGTGGTGGTGATGGGGGTGGTGGTGGTGGTGATGGGGGTGGTGGTTGTGATGGGGGTGGTGGTGGTGATGGGGGTGGTGATGGGGGTGGTGGTGATGGTGGTGATGGGGTGGTGGTGGTGATGGGGGTGGTGGTGGTGATGGGGGTGGTGGTGGTAGTGGTGATGGGGTGATGGTGGTGATTGTCAAAAGCCCTTGTCGAGGTGACTTGTTGAAACGCTAAAATCGTGGTCGAGGTGGTTTTGGGGCGACGTTCCTCACCGAGGTCGCGTGGCAATGGGCCCCATGGGATGGCGCCCTCTGGTGGCGAAGCGATGAGCTGCGGCTGACCGCTCTTGCCTCTGATACACACTCGCTGCTGCTGATGATGATGATATCATCTTTCATCATCAGCAGCAGCGGAATTACCATCAGCAATTTCGATTTAAAGCTTTCGTGACTGCAGAGATTCATCTTCTTGGTTCCTTCGGTAAAGTCACGTAGAATGGAAATAATAAAATAATAAAAAGAAAACATTTTATTATTTCCATTCTACGCGACTTTCCATTCGACGTGACCGAAAGAACCAAGAAGATGATATCATCAGCAACTGAAGGAAGAGTCGTTTGATATCCACTGCTGTGTAAAAAGGCTCAACATCAGCAGCAGCATCCAAATGTAAGGACTGGCTGATCTTAATCATATTCGCACCCCTTTACCGATCACCGATCCCTTTAATCATATCACCCTACCTCTATCCCTATCCCCTATTCCTAGCAGAGGCGGATCGAGAAACTTCTCAGGGAGGGAGGAGGATGGGGGAGGTCAATAAATGTCACTATTTTTAAACGGAGGGGTCCGACATTAATTAAAAAAAAACATTCAATGCATTTTCTCTGGTAAATAGAAATACTATATCAATTGTCGGGGTCTCAATGTAGGGAGGTGGGGAGCGATCATCCCTCGCCTGGGGTCGCCACTTCTTCCTATACACCCATCAACCCTGCTGGTATCTCCAATCAAATCTGCAAGTGACGAGGAATCCCCCTTCCATCATCGTGGTACCTCGCTACGTCTCCCCCTCTCGCTCCTCTGAGCTCCTCGGTCGCGCATTTACACCGCCAACTCGCACGGAGGCGCTCAGGGCTCGCAATGGGACTCTGAGACCCAACGAGTCGGACCCTCATCCTTCTTAGGTCCCCCACGCCTCGCCCCGTTCAGCCCTGCTCTACCCAGCCCTACCCAGCCCTACCCAGCCTTGCCCTGCCTTTTCTTGGTTCTTTCGGTAAAGTCACGTAGAAGGGAAATAAAAAAATAAAATAAACATAATAAAATCATTCTCACGACGTTTCGGCCACAACGCAAGCAGCGTTGTGGCCGAAACGTCGTGAGCATTATTTTATTATGTTTCATTAAATTTTTTCCTTCTACGTGACTTTACCGAAAGAACCAAGAAGATGAATCCCTGCAGTCACGAAAGCTTTAAATCGAAATTTAGCCCTGCTTTGTCCAGCTGGTAATCCCCCTAACGCCGCTTCAAGAACAACAACAAAATCAACAATTGTTATTCATACAGCGTCCAAATGCAATCGCACTCCACGAAGCTGGGCAGGGCCAAGTCCTCCTTGGCTCCGATATCTCCGATGAGCACGATTGGCTACGTACGGTGCGAAAGAAGTTCAGCATGTTGTATACACCAATATTGGAGGGGGACCAATACCAACCGTCTCGGTGTCAGATTAGTTTTCTCATTGCGGCTGATGTTGCTGTAGAGTGTAGAGCATCATAGCTGTTGCAGAGAAAACAAATCATAGCTGTTGAAGAGAAAAAAATCATAACTGTGTAAAAAATTCATAGCTGTTGAAGAGAAAAAAATGCATAGTTGTTGTAGAGAAAAAATCATAGCTGTTGTAGAGACAAAAATCATCGCTGTTGTAAAGAAAAAATCTAAGCTGTTGTAGAGAGAAAAATTCTAGGTGTTGTAGAGAAAAAAATCATAAGTGTTGTGGAAAAAAATGATAACTGTTGTAGAGAAAAAAACTGATAAGTGTTGTAGATAAAAAATCAAAGCTGTTGTAGAGAAAAAATCATGGCTGTTCTTGAGAAAAAAATCATATGTTTTGTAGAGAAAAAATCATAGCTGTTGTAGAAAAAAAAAATCATCGCTGTTGTAGAGGAAAAATCATAGGTGTTGTAGAGAAAAAATCATAGGTGTTGTAGAGAAAAAAGATAATAGCTGTTGTAGAAACAAAAATCATAGCTGTTGTAGAGAGAACAAATCATAGTTGTTGTAGAGAAAAATCATAGGTGTTGTAGAGAAAATGATCATAGCTGTTGTAGAGAAAAATCATAGCTGTTGTAGAGATCAAATCATAGCTGTTGTAGAGAAAAATCATAGCTGTTGTAGAGATCAAATCATGGCTGTTGCAGAGAAAAAATCATAGCTGTTGTAAAGAAACATTTTAGCTGTTGTAGAAAAAATCATAGTTATTGTACAGAAAAAAATCATAGTTGTTGTTGAGATAAAAATGATAGCTGGTGTAGAGAAAGAAATCATAGCTGTTGTAGAGCAACAGCTATAATCTTAGCTCGATGTAATTGACGAGCCAAAGATGCTTGTGTCAGGAGTAGCGGAGTGGTGAACAGCTCTGACGATGCCTCCTCCTACTACGTCGGACAATGAATGGGGTCGTTTCATTCAGAAAAAAAACTTTTTTTCTTGCTGTGCTTTTTCCACCTGATCATGATTGCTTGGGTTGCAATCGAAACGTCGTGATTTATTTTATTTTATACCTACGTGACTTTACCGAAAGAACCAAAGAGTACGGTCGTTTCATGTTCCACGAGTCTGTTTTTTGGGAGGTGACCAGAGTCGCCGCACACTGACCAGATTGTAGTTTTAAAAAAATGAACCCGTAAAAACACAGTTTTTCACTATAAATCCTTTTTATGCGTGGTGGCTAGAGTCCTCTCGTCCTCTGGCTTGAGATGGCTGCCACCTATGGGTCAGATGATTGCCTGCCACCATTAAGCAATTGGTAATTAAATAGAAAAAAAAATTCCTAAAAAGTGTAAAGTTATGGAAATTTCTTTTCACGAAAATAAATTGTCACGCACAACGAGTCTGTGTGCAAAATGTCAGCTCGATTGGATCACGGGAAGTGGGTTAAAAAACGACCGAAAGATTTGCACGGTCGTAAGCGCGCAAGCAAGCAAGTGAACTTAATATAAAGGATTTAAAAAAATATCTCCCTTTTGCTTGCACCTGCTTCCATGGTTCGTGTGCGGATGCGGTTCCTGGTTGTGGCCCAGAAGCTCCGTGGGATGTCGAGGCCAGGGTGAGTGAGATGAGGCTCTAAGGCTGTCTGAGTGGTTCCCAACATTTTTAGTCCTGCGCCACCCACCCACAACACCCACAACACCCACAACACCCACCCACCCACAACATCCACCCACCCACAACACCCACCCACAACATCCACCCACCCACAACACCCACCCACAACACCCACTCCACCCACCCATCTACTCACCCACAACACCCACCCACCCGCAACACCCACTCACCCACCCACAACACCCACCCACCCGCAACACCCACTCACCCACCCACCCACAACACCCATCCACCCACCCACTCACAACACCCACCCACTCACAACACCCACCCACCCACAACACCCACAACACCTACCCAACCACAACACCCACCCACCCACAACACCCACCCACCCCCCCACCCACAACACCCACCCACAACACCCACTCCACCCACCCACCTACTCACCCACAACACCCACCCACCCGCAACACCCACTCACCCACCCACCCACCCACAACACCCACCCACCCGCAACACCCACTCACCCACCCACCCACAACACCCATCCACCCACCCACTCACAACACCCACCCACCCACCCACAACACCCACAACACCTACCCACCCACAACACCCACTCCACCCACCCACCTACTCACCCACAACACCCAGCCACCCGCAACACCCACTCACCCACCCACCCACAACACCCACCCACCCGCAACACCCACTCACCCACCCACCCACAACACCCATCCACCCACCCACTCACAACACCCACCCACTCACAACACCCACCCACCCACAACACCCACAACACCTACCCACCCACAACACCCACCCACCCACAACACCCACCCACCCCCCCACCCACAACACCCACCCACCCCCGAGCCGCCCCCGTACCACAGTAGCAAAGTTTGGGACAAAATGAAATCGAGCATGCGTTCATCTCCTCCTCCTCCTCTGCCTTGAATCTGTTTACAAAACAGAGGCGACGCACGAGCCGCGTGTGCTGCTGATGTTTTGGGTAAAAATGTCGCTAAGCAGGAACATCGACCCCCACCCCCTCACCCGAAACCACCACCCACCGGGTTCAACCCGTGCCCCCGTCTTGCTGATTTGGAAACAGTAGGCATATTTGTATTCTTATCCAGTCTACTGAACTTTATGTGAGTCCACGGGTCACCTTTACGATTACACGTGTCACCATGTAAACATTTGGGTATATTCGTGAGTGTATGGGTCCCTTTAAGAGTTAATACATATCTCGAACAGTGTATGGGTTAAATGTAAAGTACTGTACAGTGTATATGGGGTTCTATATGGATACAGTATATGGGTCTCTGCGACCGTGCGGGTCACCATGTGAGTTCATAGGAATCAATAGGAGTGTATGGGTTTGTGTAATTGTATGGGTCTCGCTGCGAGTATACTGCACAACACAACGTGGGTTTATATCGACACTGTGTGGAAACCGTTTTGGCACCGGCGTTTTTTTTAAATACAAAGCGGGGGAGTGGAGCGAGATGAGAGCGGAGATTGCGACAGTGGCGAGACAATGTGGCCGCATACCTTCACAAGGTGCTCATCCTGCAGATAACAACACAACTAAGCATGCAATGAGCCTACTTTGTAACGTATCCGTCTCTTCACCTCAAACAAGTAAACCCGTAAAAACAAAGTTTTCACTATAAATCCTTTATATGCGTGGCGGCTAGAGTCCTCTCGTCCTCTGGCTTGAGATGGCTGCCACCTATGGGTCAGATGATTGTCTGCAGTATTAAACAATTGGTAATTAAATACTTAATTTGTTTTCCCTAAACAGTGTAAAATTTTTGAAAAAAATTTTCACGAACATTAATTGTCTCGCACAACGAGTCTGTGTGCAAAATGTCAGCTCGATTGGATCACGGGAAGTGGGTTAAAAAACGACCGAAAGGTTTGCACGGTCGTAAGCAAGCACGCAAGCAAGCAAGCAAGCGAACTTAATATAAAGGATTAAAAAATTAACCCGTAAAAACAAAGTTTTTTCACTATAAATCCTTTATATGCGTGGCGGCTAGAGTCCTCTCGTCCTCTGGCTTGAGATGGCTGCCACCTATGGGTCAGATGATTGTCTGCCAGTATTAGGCAATTGGTAATTAAATATTTAATTTATTTTCCCTAAACAGTGTAACATTTTGGAAAACAAATTTCACGAAAATTAATTGTCATGCACAACGAGTCTGTGTGCAAAATGTCAGCTCTATTGGATCACGGGAAGTGGGTTAAAAAACGACCGAAAGGTTTGCACGGTCGTAAGCAAGCTCGCAAGCAAGCAAGCAAGCGAACTTAATATAAATGATTTAAAAACCAGAAGCGTTTTCAGCCACAAAGCCCCCCCCCCCTCTCTCCCACCGGGAGTGTACCCATTTTATATTATGTATGCTGGACTTCTTTCGCACCGTACGTAGCCAAACGTGCGAATCAGGAAATTCTGAGCAGCACTGACTCAAATACAATCAAAGTCTGGTTTTGACACACAGTGTCTCTTCAGCAGTCCGGCCTGCCTGGACCAATGCTGCTGAACCGCCAGATGTTGTACGGCGAAATCCATCTCTTGAGTGCGTGTACTGGCAGTCTATAATATATATACTGTGGGGCCGTCCATAAATGACGTCACGCGATTTTGGACGATTTTCGACCCCCCCCCCCCCCATCGTCACACGGCGTCACAAAAAGTCAGACCCCCCCTCAAATATGACGTCACAATGCTCTGCCCCCCCCAAATAAAACATGCTTCAAATCGCTTTAAACTATTGTCATTGTAGTGCGTATTTAATGTGGCGCTGCACTCTGATGTTGTAGGAGAAAACATTTATTAAAACGTCTATTTATTTAAGTAGAACGTGTTGTCTTTATTTATTTAAAGTTGCGCATTTTGATGTGATGTCACATTTCTCAACCCCCCCCTCCCCCTTGTCACGCATCGTCACAAATGTCTGACCCCCCCCCCCCCCAGGTGCGTGACGTCATTTATGGACGGCCCCTGTACTCGACTGTGTAATTGTACTCTGACCGGTCTAAATATCTCACGCTGTATGGAATGCATCACATTTAACATTGATTCGTGCCTGTGCAGTAAAATCCCCGCGTTTGTTCAGTGCGCCGATTTCTATTTCGCTTCATCGCTGCAACTTCATTTCGCTTTGCCACTTCTGGTGAGCCGGGTCACTCTTGCAAACGAGAAGCGATCCTGGCCACGCGGTTCAACAAAACCAAACTTGAATTGAGGACACGGGTTCCAACTCCGCACGATGACCGCCCCGTTTCTCTCGCGAGGGAGACCACCAAGGATCATGACGGACGGCCAATGATTGATGATGATGACGACGGTGCCATCAGAAAGATCCCCTCGCCGCACGGAAAACGTCTCCCGTGCCAACGCGGCTCGAGTCGAGGGGCCGCGGTGTCCCAACTTCGCCGCCGCCGTCGTCGTGGTGGCAGGAGATGTTGTAACGGGCGGCACGCGGTCGCCTCCCGCCCGTGACGTCATGGGCGACGTCACGGACGACGTCACGGGCGAGTCAGGATTCCGACTCCAGTGACGTTTCTCCTGCCCCCGTGCCCCCTCCCCCCACCCCCAACAGTGGTGGATCCAAGGGGGATAGGGGGGGGGCCCTTCCATACCCAATAATTGAGACCCCGAAAATAGGCATTTTTGACATTTACCAGAGACAAAGTATGGCAAAATAGTTAGTTTCTTATTATTAGTGATGTAGGACCCGACTTTAAAAGCTTGATACAATATATCAGGACCCCCCGGTCTAGATGCACATCTGCCCCCCCTCCATCCCCCACAACCCCTCTCGGACTTCAAGAGTTAATTCTCAGACTTATTTTTGTTTAAATAGGAGGCATGGGAAGGGGGGTGGTGGACCCATGCACCCATTCTCACAGCCTCAGTGTGAAACCGTGCGAGCTGGATGAGGCTGGACAGTGGGCGTCCGTGCAGAACCGGCCCTAGACCTTTGGA